CAGTGCTGTGCTTACAAAGAAGACATCTTCTGTCAGAGCAAGTTTTAAAGCCCCCATTAGGTAATGGGTTGTCCAGTCTGGTTCTTACTACCATGTCCTTTAGGTTCCTTGGGCATCTGTATGCAGCCAATGGGGGTTCCTTAAAGACCTCTGCCATTCGTTTGTTTGAATGAAGGATTGGTAGGTTCTTTTGAAGGATACCGCTAAGGTTCTTAAGGACGGGATGGTATGTGGTTACCAGAGGGACCCTGCCGCTATTGTCTTTCTCCTTGTAGCGTAATAGGTTTTGCCTGTCATGTCCCGCCATCTCATCAATAGCTGTTTGTACGGTGCGGGCATTGTAGCCTCTTTTGCATAAGTGGGACTTAAGAAGACCACTTTGCTCCTGATATAAGGCAGGGGACGAACAGATGCGTCGAATTCTGGTGGCTAGACCCTTAGGCACTCCCTTAAAAGTGTGTGGGGGATGACAGCTAGAGGGCATAAGATATAGGTGGGAGTCTGTGGGTTTGGTGTGGAGACTGAATTCGATTTCACCATCAATCAGGGTAGATGTAGTATCTAGGAATACGTTTTTCGAATTAGATACGTCTACTGTAAATTTGATCGATTGATGAAAGGTGTTGGCAAACCTAATGAATGCCTCGAGGCTCTCGCGACATTCCACCCACTTCATCTCTATATCGTCAATGAAACGCAACCAGCTATGGGGCCTAAATGGTGCTTGAAGTAACAAGTTGCGTTCCAGTCTGCCCATGAAGACATTGGCATAAGACGGTGCCATTTTCGTACCCATAGCAGTGCCATTAACCTGCAGGTAATGTTCTCCATTAAACATGAAGTTATTGAACTTGAGAACATGTTCAAGGAGCTTAGCAAGGGACTCTGTAGAAGGAATTTGTATGGACCTACTATCCCAGACTTCTCTACAGGCTTCGATACCCTCATCGTGTGGAATATTGGTGTACAAAGATGTGACGTCCATAGTCACGAGGAGGGTATGATTTGGGAGACCAGTAGAGGGCGTCTTGTTAATGTAGTCCGTGGTGTCCTTGAGATAGGATGGTAAATTCTCTACGTGTGGACGGAGATGTAAATCAATGAATTCAGAAATTTTCTCTGTGGGGTGTCCAATTGCGCTGACTATGGGGCGACCTGGCATGCCTTCTTTGTGTATTTTAGGAAGCAGATAGAATTGTCCTGGTCTACAGTCAATAGGATTTAAGGTCTCATAGACGTTGATACCAATCTCATTTTTCTCAAACATATCGTCAAGAGTTTTGGTAATGGCGGTGGAGAATTCTTTAGTAGGGTCAGAGTCCAGTTTCTTATAGAAACGTTCGTCTGAGAGTTGTCTTTGGGCCTCCGCCATGTAAGTCTCTTTTTCCATTACTACAACTGTAGAGCCTTTGTCTGCTTTCTTGATTACAATGTCATCCCGATTTTTTAATGATTGTAAGGCAGATCTCTCTTCTTTACTCAAATTGTCGGGAGTCTTGTCTGGCATTGAAAGGAGCTACTCTATGTCTGACTCAACGTCGTCAATATACGACTCAAGCGCGCCGCACTTGCCCGGTGCAGGTTCCCAGTCACTCTTGCTTATAGAGTTTGTGTTCCTCTAGATCGTGTAAATCACTCTTGGAAGAGTCGTATGAATTTACTTCGGAGTCTTTTCTAGAGAAGTGCTCCTTCAAACGAAGTCTCCGGAAGAATGCTCGGGTGTCCTCTCTGACTTGTTTTTCGTCGACCTCATGTGGCGTGGGGCAGAAATTTAGCCCCTTGGAAAGAAGTGAGGTCTCCGATTCGGAGAGAGGAGAACTAGATGTATTGAGCACTGGGCAGACGTCAGGAGTTTGTATGGGTCCGTCCCTCGCGATTGTCTTAATGCGTTTGAAGCGTCTCGAGCGGGGTTTGCGTGTTTTGTTAACTCTGACCTCTGACCAGTTGTTCCTAGACTGTGGAACACTGTCGCGGAGAAATTTCTTTTTTTGAGTCTTGTTGACTTTATTTGTTAGGGCCATATTATAGGTGTCTATAATATTATGGGCTTTATCAAGATCGGCCTGGGACATGATATCGTTGAGGGATGATTCTAAGGACTTGAAGCGAGAGCCTCGAGGCATTCATTAGGTTTGCCAACACCTTTCATCAATCGATCAAATTTACAGTAGACGTATCTAATTCGAAAAACGTATTCCTAGATACTACATCTACCCTGATTGATGGTGAAATCGAATTCAGTCTCCACACCAAACCCACAGACTCCCACCTATATCTTATGCCCTCTAGCTGTCATCCCCCACACACTTTTAAGGGAGTGCCTAAGGGTCTAGCCACCAGAATTCGACGCATCTGTTCGTCCCCTGCCTTATATCAGGAGCAAAGTGGTCTTCTTAAGTCCCACTTATGCAAAAGAGGCTACAATGCCCGCACCGTACAAACAGCTATTGATGAGATGGCGGGACATGACAGGCAAAACCTATTACGCTACAAGGAGAAAGACAATAGCCGCAGGGTCCCTCTGGTAACCACATACCATCCCGTCCTTAAGAACCTTAGCGGTATCCTTCAAAAGAACCTACCAATCCTTCATTCAAACAAACGAATGGCAGAGGTCTTTAAGGAACCCCCATTGGCTGCATACAGACGCCCAAGGAACCTAAAGGACATGGTAGTAAGAACCAGACTGGACAACCCATTACCTAACGGGGGCTTTAAAACTTGCTCTGACAGAAGATGTCTTCTTTGTAAGCACAGCACTGACACAGACAGTTTTAACAGCCCTGTTACAGGCCGCAGCTACAAAATACTAGGGGATTTGTCCTGTCATACTGACAACTGCATTTATCTCATCAGTTGCAAAGTTTGCTCCAAACAGTATATTGGTGAAACAGGAGATCTCCGCAGGAGAGTCAATAACCACCGTTCGACCATTAGGACCAAAAAACTCAATGAACCAGTTGGGGAACATTTCAACCTTGAGGGTCACAAATGGGAGGACATGACAGTAGTGGTGACTGACCATAACCCAAGATGGACAGATGCTCAGAGAAAAAGCAAAGAAAAGTTCTGGATGCACAGATTGAAGTCATTCCGCCCTAACGGTATTAACAAACTGAATGACTTCACCAGAATGAACGTAAACTAGACCCAATTCCTGATGATACTAAACAAGATTATTCTCTCAATTTAGTGTAAATTTTACAGTTAATTTGCGTCACCAACTCTCGAACAACTCTCATAACTATGTATTGCTAACACCTTTGTTATTTATTTTTTCCCGGTAGTAAGTCCTTAAATATTTCAAGATTTATAATTGATCTTAATTCATATGTTTAAATATCCCTGCTATCTTATTTTTCTTCGATTATTCTTTATTAAGTAAAGTTACGCCATTTTGAGAGAATGAAACAATGTACGATTTACTGATTGTCGTAATTAATTAGCATAATTAATTCGTTCAATTATGTAAATCGCACTTCACCCGAGTATACCCGATAGACCGGACGCATTTCAGCGGTCCGGATTTCTTTCTTTATTAGTGTTCTTAAAAATTTTCAATTCATCATGTAATTAAGTATGTAAATATCTAGTGTTCAGTAGTTTAGTAGTAGTGCTAGCTGTTTTTGTTTCTCTCTTTCCTTTGTTCGTATGACTTTTAAACTTTTTTCTTTGTCCTGAGGAAGGGACAGGGCGTCCCGAAAATTTGACAATTTTTATTGTTCGTGTCGTTGGTCATTTTTAGTGCTTTATATAAATTTCCATCCGTGACCTTGTATCTACTTGGTAGATCCGACATTTAGGATATACAGTGTTGTTGGAAAAATAAGTAACGTCAGGTGCCTGTGTGGTAAATTGATTTGTCGCTCACGGGCGACAAATCAATTTACGAAGAGCGAAATGAAAGGCATAATTTTTATTAGATTATGTAGATTCAAGTTTGTTCAAATCATGACCCCAGGGGATAGGGTGTGGCCACATTGGCCGATCAAAGTTTTACATAGGAATATATATATAGGAAAAATCTTTAAAAATCTTCTTCTCAAGATCTATAGAAACAGGAAAGGTGAAACTCATGTTGAATCATCCTCAGGTGGTGTAGATTCAAATTTGTTCAAATCATGACCCCCGGAGGTAGGGTGGGGCCACAATGGTTGATCAAAGTTTTACATAGGAGTACATAGGGAAATCTTTTAAAATCTTATTCTCAAGTACTGCAAAGCCATGATTAGTGATATTTATATAGAAACATCCTCAGATAGTGTAGAATTAAATTTGTTCAAATTATAACTACCAATGGTAGGATGGGGTCTCAGTGGTGGATTTAAGTTTTACGTTGGAAAATAAAGGGAAAAATCCCAAGAACAAAAAAGCTATGTTTAGTCATATTGACATGTAAGCATCCTCTTGTATTGAAGATTTAAATTTGTTTAAATCATGACTCATTGGGGTAGGGAGGGAAGCAACGGGGAATCAAATTCAAATTATTACGAAGTATATACAAACAAAATGTTTAAAAAAATGTTTTTCTCAAGAACAGCAAAGTTAAATGCTGTATTGATATGGAGGCATTCTCAAGTAGTATTAAAATTCACCCCCCCCCCCCCCCCCCCCCAGTAGATTTTGCAGCTCTCCACCGGCGAGTGGTGGCGTGTCCAAATTAGTGAAATACGATAGAGAGAGAGAGAGAGAGAGAGAGAGAGAGAGAGAGAGAGAGAGAGAGACGTTAAACAACAATCAATCATGTGTCTCTACCCTGTTCCTGGGAAATGATTTTAAATAAATAAATAGAATCAGCCTTCTGAGATTGACTCTTTAAATAGGGTTAGCTTAAAGTAATTTTTTTGCAGAAGACAACATAAATCTAAAATCCTTTCTTGAAATTTGAGGAGCTATTTACTGTAATATTCTCTCAATTATACATTTTGGTACGATTTATTATTTCTTAAATAAAGAAATAAGCAGCTTCAACTAAGATATACACTGCTGCAAATCGATTTTAAAACTTGAGGAAAAATGGTGCAAAGATTACTTAAAATGTGTTCATAATCAATCAAAACACTTCTTCTTTATAAAGGTTTGGTTTGACTTAAGACTGTATCAAATTACAAAATTGTCTGCAAACTAACAAATAAAAAAGAAATATGTCAATATTAAAGAAACCTTCTTTTCTTAACCCTTGTATACATTTCGAATTTGCATGCTTTTCTATGATCTATTTATGAAAGTTTTGTCACTCGTTAGCTTCCGGTATGTGCCGACATACTCTATTCCTCAATGAATTTTCCATTCTTCAAGCTTTTGTGACCTCATTGATTTGAACATCTTCCGTAACTACAACTCGTCGTGGAGATGTTGATGCTCTTTGTCTTTCTTAGGCGCCTTTTTCTTTTGTTTTCCCTTCTTTTTAACCTTAACAGTTCTACCGTCACCGGTTGCTCGAAATTCCTCACCATTGTCGAGATATACCACTTCTTCGTCTATATTCAGTTTGACCTCGCGTGCTTCCCTGTTCATTACGAACTGTGAATCACCAGAACTTTTATGGAGGTCAGCCCCTGTTGCGTCTATTATTCCATGGATTATGTTTCTCATTTTTATTAGAGCCTCAGATGTCTTGGGTCCAGGATCTGAATTAAAATATGAAAAACACAACGTATAGTTCTGTGACTTTCTTAATTATCGAAAATTTCTCTCTGCGAACCATTTCACTTTGTACTTCAGAAAAGTTTTTTTCCAGTCTTAAAATAAATCGCCATGGATTGATTAAAAACTAATGATTTGAATTAAAAAGCGAATAAAAGTTTGTATTCAAACCTTCAGATAAAGCTCTGTTAATCGCCGCCCTTTCGTCATCTAGGACATCGATAGTTTTTGCTTTTTTGATTTCTTTCAAGAGGTAAATATAATATTTGGCTAAACTGAAAATTAAAACACATCTTGTAATAACTATAGAACTGAAAATGTATGACAAATTTCACAAGAGTTTATTCACGATGCTTAAAAAGCGATCACTAACTAACAGTTACAATCCGTTTCATTCCATTACCAAATTTATGTTTTTTTTCAAAATGTAGAAATAATAACACAACTTAAATAAATTTAAGTGAAATAAACCCCTTTTTGTTGAATGTAGATAACTTTGGGACCCTTTTTTGCTAAATCCCTCCCCTAACGTCACTTGTACGATATAGACTTAGTTCTAATTTCACAATGCCCTATCATTAAATTTGATATCAGCAGTCTCGCTTAAAGTCATCATTTCGTAAGTTATATGGTCGATACAATGACCTTGTCAGCAAATACAATTTATCACTGAGTCAAAAGCTGACTGACGTTTTTCATACGAATTGTTAGTCCATTATTTGTACACTGAATTGACGACGGATTTTTCCGTTATTTCCCGATCATGACAAGGAGCACACGGCGGGTGTGACCGGTCAGCAGGGGATGCTCACTCCTCCATGGCACCTGATCCCACCTCTGATGTTTCGGAGGTCCGTGTTTGCTCTGCTCCTATTTTGTATTGTTTTATCGACTTTGATATTGAATACTGTTCGTTATCTACAAATCCTTCTTTGAAAAGATTTTTTTTTTGGTCTTTTGTGACTTGTTAAAGATTTTGTAAATGGATTTGCCAGATTGTTATCACCACCTATTTTCTTTTTTAAAGAGTTTCTGTCCCCTTAATACATGTATTAAAAGTTGTTGTTTAGTATTTTACTCTTTTTTATGATAGGCCGCCCTCTTCTTTGCTTCAGCTATGATTTTATCCTGTAAAAGAGGCAATTTTAAATTATTAATTCTGTGGCGATGAATATTTAAATATTTGGTCGCAAAATTTTTATTTAATTTGATATAAATGTATGCATTTTTTCTTTCCTTAATATGTAGGTATATAAAATATATGTTTTATCTATCAACTATCTTCATTTAAATCAGACGTTGATGCGATGTATCCCTTTCATCTCCAAATAAAAAAATAATAATACAGGATCGTGCACATCTTTTCATTCTTAAATGCAATATATTTTACTGGAAAAAAATACGGTGATGGTAATCTAACAGCATAACTTAATGATATTAGAGGTGACTTCAATTTTCTTATCTTCTTCATCCGTTATTTATATAGTAACATTCTAATATCACCTGCATATGCAGTTTATGCCTCCCAGTTGATTTGAAACGCAAGAACATATTCTAAGTACGAACAATATCTGAGTCGAGGTCATCTATTTTCAGATAAGTTGATAGAACTAGCCCCATTTAGAGTTAGCATTATGTAAATTCTATACTAGTAGTAGATACGACGTCCTTGTCAACAAATATATACAATACCCAGTATTTTAAGTCAAACGTTGAGTTGACAAACGTGTTTCATGCAAGTTGTGAGGCAGTTATTTTCACAATGAATTATATACGGAATTTTCCGCTTTCCCGATAATGACAAGGAGCATACGACGGGTGTGACTGGTCGACAGCGAATGCTTACTCTTTCATGACACCCAATTCCACTTCCGATCATTAAATAGGCCCGCGTTTCCGCCCCTTTCAATTTGTCTTGTTTCAATAGACTTTTGAGATCAATAATGACTTGTTATCTTCATATTTCAGGAGAGAACTCCATTCACCTTGCTGTTTTATATATGAGTATTGGAGATTAATAATAAGAGGAATCACAACTAAACTGTTAGCATAGCCTAATCGTGATCGTAATTACTTACCATGTTTTTAGCTTTTGTAATTAAATTGATCTTCTCCGATATAAAGTCGTCTAAATCAGCAAGTCTTCCGGCCTATGTGTAACAAAAAAAGTTAAATTATAATGAAATAAAGTACATTTTTACCTGCATTCACATTTACAACAATGAGTAAATTAACATGCACAGTAAAGCACCGGTCTCAATATGATAAACATCTATGTGGACAGACTCCTTGAAAATGTCATGCAAATCCTGCAGATTTCTTACATTTTCAACCAAAGCTCCGGATTTCGTTCGTTGAATACCCGTCTGATCTTTGATGAATTCAAGAAGTTGAATATCATCTATTTTCCCGCCATATCTTGCTTTTGTTGGACGTTCATCGTCTGAATACCAATAGAGGGCGGGATATAATCGTGTTTCAAACCTTAAACGAAAAGTTAAATGCAGACTCTTGTCTTAAACATAGTTTGAAAAGAAGTTTGAAATATTTTGGAATTATTTATACATACTGTGCTGCCAAATTTGGTTCTCTTAGTACGTCAAGACGAAGGAAAGCAAGCTACAAAAGAAAAGGATATCTAAATGAGAACATGTATTTTCATTGGGATATTCAAAGCTTAGAATTGTCAGTCAAAATTGATAAAAATCATGATACTTTTACTTACGATGTCATCTTTTTTGAAAATTTCGGCAAACCTTTCAATCCTAGCAACTTCTTCCTCATGTTCTGTTGGTTAGACAAAAGTAAATGAACAAAATTCAGCAAAGTATTTTTCCCAAAAGTTAGAAGATATAAGAATACTAAACTTCTTCCAAAGTAGTAATTGGTTGAAATTAACGTTGAGTACAGTTCTCTCTATCTCTCTCTCTCTCAGCTTTCATATATTTCTACAATTAATTACAGTTATAATTACCTCTTTTGTATAGAAGTAGAAATTTGAATTGTCGAGGAATCGCAAGGATTTCATAAAAATTAGTAGTTGTCAGTTCTGTTGTATAGTGACGTCGAACTGCGGTGGTATCCTTCCCCAGTGCTTTAGACACGTATTCAGTTACGGTATCCACAGTAATATCACCTTTGTTTCTGTAAAGATTAAGACAATAAATACTGATTTTGTGATCTTTAAATACCTGATTTTGTGATAACGAAGTCTGAGACTCAAGCATATTTTGAAATAGCTGCAGATCTGTAGCGTTATGGTTTTATATATTTGTCTTTGACCATAAAGTGCAAAAAAAATACTATATTTTTTGTGAATTTCTCCACTTTCTAGCATTGGTCAATCAACTACCTTTCACTCCCTAATTCTAGACACATTCTGTATCTAATATGTATAGTTTATCCACCTCCCAACCATTTATAGTTGTCTCTACAGGCAATAAACTCGCTTGAAGTGAATTTTCAGTAATCTAACAAATCATTTTAATCAGGCGATTTTTTATGGAATTTTATATAAAATTTTGTGATAAAATTTTTGATTAGTTCAATAATGTGTAAAACTAGAATTAGGGAGTGAAAGGTAGTTGATTGACCCTGCTGGAAAGTGGAGAAATTCTCCCCAAAAGAGCGCAAAAAATATTGCGCCGTAAATTGCACCTTTTTTGCACTATGGGATCTGTAGCGTTATGGTCAAAGACAAATATATAAAACCATAACGCTACAGGTCTGCAGCTAATTTTGAAATGGAATTTTATATGAAAGTTTTGTGATATATGTTTGATTAAACATTTAAAACTGTTTTGTACCTTACCTCATAGGGTGTTTGCCACCTTTTTCAAAGAAAACCAAGGACGGAAAAGAGGTGACGTCCCATTCTGATGCCAATTTCGTGTCCTTGACGCGACCAAAGAGAACAGATGAGTCGTCTTTGAAGGCTTGTGAAGATGCCACAAATTTCGGGTAAAGTAAGCGGCATTTTTCACAATCTGTAAAAGATAAAGGTCAACCCTTAACATAAGTCTTATAAGTTATTTGCTTTATAGCAAATACTATTACTGGGTAGCTGGTAAATATAGTTATACAGTCTACGTATAGACGGAGCACTGTTCAGAGACACGGATATCTAAATTGAGGATAAAAGAAGAGAAAAATGTTTCAAAAGGTTGTTCAACCTTTCTTTAACATCTACATGTATGTAAAGGGGCAGGGTGGTGGCGTGATCGATCATACAGGTTTATTTAATGCAATTTATATGGCAAAAGATAATCTCATTTGTCTTACAGATTACTTGTTATAGCTGGTTCTTGTCTTTAATCAGAAAAAAAACATCGAATATATGAGCAAAAATTTGTCATTTCTGAGGTCTTATTCCGATGTTCACTGCAATATGCGGAGTCACATATGGATGAAATTACTATCGTTATTTAATAGAGAAATGTCAACATATGTGAATCTAAGATAAAAAAAAAAATACCCACTTTTAGCGACCATCAGGAATACAGAAAATGGTTCATCTTTTCTAACCTAAATAGAAAATAATTATTTGATTAAAAAATACAACGAAAGAAATAAAATATTAAGAAATGCACCATATAAGATAAGTGTTACAAAATAATATTTTAAACAATAACAAAATATATGAAATACATGTATGTTATCATTCTTTGACTTTAAAACGTCAGTATTCAAATAATAAAATATAATATATAACTTTTAAGAAATAAAGTAATTAAAATATTTTAAAAAATTGATATGAAAGTAAGAATATTGTGATTTAAGGAAACGTTTTTGATAAAGAAAACAAATTACCTTGTTGAAATTTTTGTAAGAAACATCCACAACTATAGCAGAATTGGTTACCACACATAGAAACACAGTAAGAATTGTGACATTTAGGTTCAAACCATTCATTTTTAAGACTAAATAATAAAGTTCTTGTAAGACACATAGCTATTGATCTGAAGATGTCCACACATGTCGAACTGTCGCCAGCTGTACCAGGTCGTACACGTGGACTTCATAATTGATTGAAATCTACGCGCGTCTATAAGGTTGGCTCTATTGAGTTATATTATCGATTCTTGAGTCACCACAAGACTCGCTGTTATCAATACGGTAAAACAGATATAAACATATTTTAAAATCAAAAGAAAATTAATAACTTTATTATGAATAAATTTAAGTATTCCTTGCATAAAATTTATACCCATAGTTTCATTTGTGATTTTTTTTTTATTTCTGAATGAAACTATATCGATTGATTGTATATTGATTAATGTCCTTTAGTTTCGAGAATTTTTTCTCAGAGTGGAACTACATATATAAAGACCCATTTTAATCTGATCAAAATTGTGAATTTTCAACTTTTTTTTTTTGGTCTATTCTAAATTATTCTATATATCTTAAGAGCTTATCATAAATAAACGTTCAAATTATTCAAACGTTTCAATATATCTGATTCCAACTGAACTTTAAATGAAAGACGTCAAAGATTATGAAACACTATAAAATAATTTTATATTGGAATGTTTTGAAAGAGATTAACAAATAAACTTCATCATATTTGTACATGTAATATATCACCTAGGTATGGTGTTTATGTTAAAGTATGTTTTCCTTGTAAGTTCGATTTGAAAAAGCACATTTTGTTATATACGAAGATTTATTCAAAAAGAAACGTCGCGACTGCTATCAAAACTGTAATAATCGAAAGTTATCAACAAACACATACTCACTTTTTTTTTTATTTTTGCCTAATCATCTAATTAAGTTATATAAAATATTTTTCTAAATATCAAAATAAACACATAATTTCATAAAGTAATATAAAATATTTATTTGAATATCAGAATAAACACATAATTTCATCAAGTTATATGAAAATGTTTTCTAAATATCATAATGAATACAAAATTTCCTTAAGGAATATAAAATATTTATAAATATCAAAATAAACAAATAATTTTATCTCGTTATATAATTTTTAATATCAAATAAGACATTTGTCTTTTGGTCCAACAGTGTAAACGTTATCGTCATGTCTTACTTTTCTTCACTCATTTTTTAATGATTCTGCAAATCCATTTAGTCTCTCACATTCATATATATTTTCATATATAAAAAAAGATACAGACATTTTCTTTAACCAAAAAAAAAAAGTGAGAAATAATTTAATGTTAAAAGGGTATTAACAATCATGTTAAAAATCCTGTTTAACAATCATGTTGACTGACGTTATTTGCATCAATTGCTAGACCGAAATATTTACACTGATTTAAAAATTGAAAGACAAATAGGGAATAGCGGGTGTTACTGGTCGATAAGGGATACTTTTTCCTCTGTGGACCCGATCCCACCCCTGATGTTTGCAAAGGTCAGTGCTCTCCTTGTATGCTTTCAATTTTCAATACGAGTATTTCACTGTTCATAGAGCAAACCCTAACCCTACGTACATGTATGTGGACTTGCATTGTACATTCACAAAGTATATTTTTGGGCCGAATTGTTGAATATAATCAGGTAAAAATGGACCTCTAATATCAGCAGAAATGGGATAAGGTGCCATGGAGGGATGAGCATCCCCTGTCATCTGGTCATACTCGTCGTTTGCTTGTCATAACTGGGGGAACGGGAAAAACAATCTAAATCAGTGTGTAAATAATAAGGCCTAAAAATTAGTTTGAAAAACGTCAGTCAACATTCGACTAAATGATGTCAAATGACTAAATAATGTTTTTGCTCATAAGGTCTTCGTATCAGCCATAGAACTTGCGAAATAATGACTTAAAACAAGACTGTTGATATTCTTGTAAAAAAAAAAATTTCTCGATTTATTTGCATTGAATCGACTGTGAGACATAATTATATGCAAGTGATGAGGATATATATATTGCTACATGAATAGGAAGAATGACGAATGAAAAATTGAAGGCATCACAGTTATTAGAAAGCTTTGTTATTAGATAAACATAAAGTCAGACTTATTTCTTAACTATGGTATGCAGGAATGTACATTATAACCATAAATGCACGACAATTATAGGAACCTTTATAAAAGCCACTTTTTCTGAAAACAAAAAAATTGAACTAACTTGTAACAGAAACATTGTTCATATTGAGTAGGTTAAGATTTATTCAAGTTTTGGCAAAAGGGACAATATACAAAGATTTACGATTGGGTGAAATGCTCCAAACAATGTCTACCTTGAACTAATCAAGGTAACTAAAAAATACTGGATGTAAAAAAAAAACTCTTTAATTTGACAAACTTAAATCTATGTTGATTTAATTTGAAAAACAAATTAACATGTGCAATGAGTTTAGTCAATTTTATAATGATTTTAAACTATCTTTATGTGATGGCATTACGTGAAATCAACTAAAAACAAAGGCAACTTCCTAAGGTCTAATAATAACATGGCGACGTTGCAAGAAAGATAACTCCGAAAGGGTGCAAGTTTTCCTATACTTTAATCCTGCAGATTCGATGAAATGTAATTGTGCAAGTGACATCAAGTTGAACATGTAATTTGAAATGCTAAAACTCATAATTCGGCATTCAATATCTTGTTAATTTGCTTCATCTTAATATCAATCATCTATTCATATTTCTAGGAATAAACGCGGGAAATCAGCAAGTAACACATGCGCTGTACAGTACAGGCAACGCGGATCCCGTATTAGACCGCGTCCCCTCCGCGGTGTATTAATCCTTTCCGCGTTACACCGTCGCGGGTTTTGATCGCGGTGCTACCTGAGACCGTGTTTACACCGCGGCGGGGCCAGCCACCGTTATTCTTCAGCTTAGATGTTCTTACCTGTAAAGTATTGTCGATTTTTAATCGTGTCGAAATGAGGGGGGAGGGGGATTACGACCACATTAATATTAATAGATTTATACCATTACATGGATTCTTTAAAAATTCATTTTTAAGTTTTATCAAATTGTTTAATAAAAAATATCTTTCTTTTTTTTTTTACCAATGGTCACTCAAAATTAATTAATTCTCAAAAACGTCTGTTAACAGTAATACATGTACAATATAGGATGAAATAAAGTTGAATAATTTATCGAATATATTAACTTAAAGTTTATTTTTAAAATCAATAATGTCACCCCAAATGATCTTCAAATTGCTAAAAAGGTATAATTAAAATTTAAAGAATGCCATGATATCGCTTCTCTTTATATGCACTGTAATCCGGTGTTCACAATTAGCCCGTGCAGTTGCAGTTACATGTAGCTATGTGTTTATTTATCCGCGAGATTATATCAGTCATTTGGTTTCATTTAGAAAAGTACCGTTACTTCTGTATTCATGTCTGTTGTAAATAATAGCATGAAAAAAGATGATAGATAGTGATACATAATTACAATTAAATCTTAACAAAACACGCCTAAGTGTAGGGATACCGTTGCTCCATTATTATGCGCTACACTGTAAGACTATGAACTAAACATCGACGATTTGTGTGTGTGTGTGTGGGGGGGGGGGGGGGGGGGTTCTTGTTAATAAAATAATCACAGGTATTTCTATTCAGAATATCAATAATATCATAGCTAGTATTTGAATGTATTTCTATTTTCTGCTCTTTTCGAAAATTACTAAAATCATGTTTATGAACATTAACAAATTTCAGATTTCTCCGGTTCAAATAAAACACAAACACAAATATGGACCCTTAAAATATTTGAACACACAACACAGAAATTAACTTATTTTAATCAGCAAGTAGCCATGCTTCAAGTTTTCAGATGTTTGTGTAACCGTTCGGTATTCCTCAGGTAAGTTGGGTGTGGAGTGGAGCTTACTCAAAGCGGATGAGAAGCCCCGAGGGAATGACGCTGTCTAGTGTACATACTACCTATATACACAGGATGTAACCTGAGTGTATTACCTGTATGGGTTTTCCTACGACATTGTAAAACGAAGCCTTTTTTTTCTCCATGTGTAGCTCATGAATTGAAATGAATGAAATAAAGAATGTTTTTGTTGCAGACAGAATCTTTTTTAAATTTTTTGTTTCATATAAATATTTTCAATAATTCGACAATTTTAATATACTGTGTTTTTCTTAATCAAATTTTATAACAAAAATACATTTTATTTTACCACCAAAATCTGTCGTTGTAATCTGGCGACAAAAAGTGAAGTAATTCAAATTGCATGTCATGTACATATGCTAAACGAAAGAAGAAAGTGGATTATATAAATAAGTCTCTCGATAAATAACAATAAAACTTAGACAAATTCGACAAATGGTCAATAAACTGCTAAATCAGCGGTAGTTTTATTCGCTAGACTTAAGAAATTGATATACTGATCATATAGGAGGAAAAACGATCATGCACGTGCTTTAATATTGTGATATTTTTCTTCTCTCTATCTCCTCTCTCCCCCTCTCTCTCTTTCAATCTTCTAAATGGTACAGATACAAGATGTATAAACAGACACGAAATAACATAGTAATGGATCGTTATTTGATTTAATTAATATCAAATACTTCATTTATTTGTTTTAAAAGTTTTTTTTTACTTTTGTTCTTTTTATACACTCCGTTTAAAAAAAAGCAACAATAATTTGTCACTAATTCCAAGGCTAATATCGCATCTGAAAATGATATCGATGAAATAATAATGAAACAATGAATCAAATGTGTTGTTGAATGGCTAGACAACGATGTGCATCCAGCGAGCGTTACCCAAGGTATACTATAAGACAGGTGTGAAACCCCCAGGGCATGTCGTTTCCTGCTCAGGCACTGCTAATCCCTATACACAGGAAATGATCGCGGCTAATACTTAATACACAAAGAAACAGAATTTGTCAAAGAAAACAAAAATATATGAATTTTTGCATTAAATATTTATTAATATAAACTATAATTTCGTCTGTGAAGTTTATCAATATTACACCTGCACATCCTATCTTATCTATTGAACACGAAACTCGAGA